CCGACTGGACGGCAAATAACAACACCAACAACAACATATTGATATACACTTCAACATGTCAGTTTTAAAATAGCAATTCTTTCACTTCTGTTTTAATCCTGCCAAAAGTTCATAATTTGAATCATGAAGAATATCAGATAAATTCAAATTAGGGACTATTTTTTTAAAATAGCTGGCTTGTACTCATAAAGAGAGAAAAAAAAAAAAAAGTCAAAAAGAGACTGAGAAATTGCTCCAGATTAAAATAAAGATATGTGAAACTTGATTTGGAATTTCTCTGTAAAGAATACTATTGGGACAATTGGCAAAATATGAATAAGGTCTATGGATTAGATAATAGTATTGTATCAGTGTTGATTTCCTGAGTTTAATAATTGTACTACGGTTGTGTAAAGGAATATCTTGTGTCCTTGTGTGGAGGTGGGAAAGACAGAGGGAGAGAAAGAGAGAGAGCATGTGCAAATGTAATAACACATTTTTATGGATTGAATTTTGTCCCCCAAAATGCATGTTGGAATCTAACCTCTATACTTGTGGATATAATCCCACTTGGGAATTAGTTTTTCTTTGTGATGTTAATGGGGCCATATCCACGTAGAGTGTGTCCTAAACTTAACTATTTCCAAGTTATAAACATTACAGATTAGACACTGAAGCAAACACATCCTGGGGAAGACAGATGACATGTGAGGCTCCTCTATAAGCCAAGGGACCAAGGAATGTCTGAGCTCCAGACAAGGAAAGAACTGACACAGCTTAAGTCCTGATTTCGACTTTCAGTCTCCAGAACTGTGAGAAAACAAATTTCCATTCTTTTAAACCACCCACTTGTGGTATTTGTGTTACAGCTAGGATGCATGTTAACACTTGGGGGCATCCAGGTGAATATTATATGGAATCCTTTGCAATACTTCTTTAAGCCTGAATCATATCAAAATAAATAGTAAAAAGAAAAGACAAAACAGGAACTCTTGGTAACACTGTCAGCTCTTAACTATTCTTCCTCCCTTACCCTTCTTATGAGCAGGTGGAAAGAGCAGCCTACTCAATGAAAATCATAGACATGCAGGGTCACTCCAAGCAAAAATGAGGTGCCAACTGGGAGTCAAAGATGTATAGTGACAGTCCCAACAACCACCGCTGCTAGGTAGGGGCATTGTACCCAGATGTTCAGGTATATAGAAAACACCTAAGTGTCCTCATCTGTGCATTCACAGAGTACAGCTCAAGAACCAAGAGCTAATACACCTAGGCTTCATTATTTGCTCTGCCTACTACCTATTATTATTCCTATTTTGCAAACAAACAAAACAAAACAAAAAAAAACAGAGACCCACCAAAAAAAAAAAAAAGTATTTTTTTCAGGGTCACTAATTGAGCATGTTGCAGAGTTGAAAACTACCCACAAATTATTTTATCTTTAATCTATTACTTTGTGTATCAACTTTGTTATCAGTGTAGTTTTTACTCTTCCTCTCCATTCATGCCTGTCTCATCTTCATGTTCGACTTAGACTTCCACTTGGTCACTATGAACATATGGATCATTCCTACTCCTAGATACTCAGTAGACACTATCCAGAGAGTTCCTTCTTATTGAAAGTACAAAGAAAATGAAACACAATCATAAACTATTTGTTACTGTATTAAATATCAAAGGAGAGCAGCAGTAGGGGCAGTTTTTCTCTTCTTCAAATAGTCAAAAAAGAATGAGACATAATTATTTACAGTCAGAGTGAGGAAAGCAGGCTCAAAGAACTAGAAGACCTCAGTAACAAAATCAGTACTGGTTAATTCTTCCTACACCAAATGTACTCAATAAAATTTTAAAAATCTATGTGCATTTGGGCTATCTTAAACTGGGTGTCATTTTTCAAAGGTCTCATCAACAAGAAGTGGTAAATGAGAAGAATTTAGATTTGTTTTCCTCAAATGTATACGGCATGAATGCTTTAGATTTTTTTGCCTTTTCTGAAATGGTTTTAACATGTACTAGTTCTATTACATACCAAAGAGACAGAGCATTTGGTTCTAAAGCACAGTTGCTGTTCAAAGGACTCTGAAAATCCCTGAATTTTTGAATGGGATCTTCCTTTTGATTCCAGTGGCTCCTTTAACGATTCATCTCCTGAGCATTTTCTGTAATTCCTCATGTGGGTACGACGTTGGAATTCCTGGTCCTCATGAGAATGCCTTCTAGGATGGTGGTCAGATGATGTAATTTTGGGAAGCTGGGGAAAATGGTAATAAAGCATGAAAATCTTTACAACATAAAGAGATTGTGCCATACTTTCACAGAAACAGAACATTCATAAGCTATTAACTAAACAAATCTTATACTGAACTGAAATTTTATCTTCATAATCAGTAAGATCTTTCTTCTATAATGAAGCAATAAAACATTTAGCAGAATATCTCAATGTGCATTATTCCACAATTATAGCAGTTAACTGGAAGCTTTCCAAACTCAAATTGATATTTAAAAATAAATTCTTTATTTTTATTTTAATAAAAAAGAAAAGACAAATATTTAAGAAATAATACAAGGTAATTACTTATGTAATTTTTATACAAAAAAACGATTTCTAGGCAAAAGAGCAATAAAATAAGTCATATGGAAAAAAATAATTTGACTATATAAAATTAAAGCCAATGTGCACCAAAAGCAATGCCAACAAAATTAAAAGGTACATAAAAATAAATAAATAAACAAACCTACTATCTTGAAAATAAATAGGTATATGTCACACAGACAGACATAGAGGTCATATAATGCAGTAACATCAATGCTAAAATCTCAACTGGCAAATAATCAAAGGATAAACAGTTCTTCAAAGAAGCTAAACTTCTTGAAAGAATTGTGACACTTGCTTCCCAATTTCTCTCACACCCCAAGCCACTCCAATTTGACTTTTGTACCCATAACTACTTTTGATTAGGATATTGATGTCTGCCTTATTATCTAGTGTTCCTATAACAGACAGACCACAAGTAGATAGCTTTAACAAAGAGTTTAAGAGGCTAGAAGTCTGAATCAAGATGCCAGCTCTGGGGAAGATTCTCTCTCTGCCTGCTCTAAGGGAAGGTCCTTGTCTCCTTTCAGCATCTTGTGGGCTTGGCATCCCTTGGCGATCTCCCTCCTGTCTTGGGATCAACATTCCCCAGGGTCTAGAAGGTTCACAGCACAGAGACCCTGGTTCAAAGGATGCATGTCACTCCTGACTCTTCTTTCTTGGTGTTATACTTATGCTCCTCTCATCTCTGCTGGCTTGTTTAATCTCTTATATTTCAAAAGAGAATGACTCAAGATACAAACTAATCCTGTAGATTGTATCCTGCCTCATTAACATAACTGCCTCTAATTCTGGCTCATTAACTTCATCACACTCATTCACTGACATCGAGTCAATTCCCACTCATAGCAAATCCCTTTGGGTTTCTGAGGTGGTAAATCTTTATGGAAGTAGATTGCCCCATCTTCCTTCTGTGGAGCGGCTGGTGGGTTTGAGCTACCAACCCTCTGGTTAGCAGTCAAATGCCTTAGATACTGTACCACCAGAGTTCCTTCATTAACTTCATAGAGGTTAGGATTTACAACACATAAGATAATTACATCAGATCACAAAACATTGGATAACATAACACTGAGAATCATAGCTTAGTCAAGCCTATATATATTTTGGGGGGACATAATTTAATCCATAATACTGTCCATGTTACCAAATTCTGTAGATACTTTGTGGGTTTTATCTTACTTATGCAGTAGAGTTATAGATTGAATTATGTCTTTAAAAAATATGTTAAAGTCCTAAACCCTGGTACTTCTGAATGAGACACTGTTTACAAAAAGGGTCTTTGAAGATATTACCTTTTAGGTTAACATGAGATCATTCTGAAGTAGAGTGGATGATAATCTAATGTGAATGGTGTCCTTATAAAAAGAGAAGAGACACAGATACAGAAGGAAAATGAACATGTGAAGACCGAGGTAGAAATTGGAGTGATGTATCTACAAGGCAAGAACACAAGAGATTTCTAGGCACTGCTAGAAGCTAGGAAGAGGAAAGGAAGAATCTTCTTCTAGAGCCTTTCAGAGAGAGCATGGCCCTGATGACACTTTATTTCAGGAATTTTGATCTCCAGAACTGTGAGACAATGAATTCATGTTGTTTTGAGCCACCTACACTTTGTAGTGCTCTAGGAAACTAATACAACTAACATTCAACTCATTGCCCATTGGTCCCTTCTGGAAACACTCTTTTCCCTTGACTTCTTTACAACTGCACCCTCTTGGTTTCCCTTTGACCTTCTGCACAGTTCCTTAGACTCATTTGGTCACTTCTCCCTTCAATTTGCCCACAATTGTTGGCATTACTCCAGGTTCTAGATTAGTTTTCCTTCCCTTTCTTTCTTACTTTTCACTGACTTCCTAAATATCTCATCCCTAGTTTTGAATTTCTAGCTGATGGTTTCCTAATTTATATCATTAGCTCATGCCTCTCCTCTAAGCTTCTGCCCACTCAGCTTCTTCTCTTGGTATCATATAGGAACCCATTTTGAATAGTCCAAGTCTGAACTCATCATTTGTGGTAGAATATGGTACCAAGAGAGTGGGGTGCTGCTCTGACAGATGCCTAGAATCTGGAAACAGGAGTGGAGTGTGTCCTTGACCCGAGACCCTGGCAGAGAGACCTGGCATATGGCATGAGAGAAGGCAGAAGCAGAGCCACGAGACTGGCAGAGAGATACCAGCAGAGAGACCAGCATGACAGACAGCAGTAGCAGAGCCCAGAGACTGGCATTAAACAGCAACAGGCTTACCAGCCCACGGAGAAGAAAGCTGGGTGCCATTGGGTAGGCGGCTTCCTGGTGGAGTGGGCTGCCTTCAGGTGTTAATTGGTAAAAGAGACTGGCATGAAATGAAATAGCAGGTTGGCCGGCCCACAGAGCAAGAAAACCCAGTCCTTTTTGGGTAGGTTTTTCCAGAAGAGTGGGTTGCCTTCAGCTTTAATCAGCAGAAGCAGAGAGACCAAGGAAACAGAAGCAGAGCTGCCTCAGCCTGAAAGAGTAGGACCATGGCCTTTGGGAGTGGAATGACCACAGCCCCCTAGGTTTCAAAGAGCCAGGCCCTCACCAACTCTGGAGTGTGGGGGTGCTCGTTCATGTGAGCCAGTGGGATGGAGCCATAGCCGCTGGCCAAGAATGAGGGGGCAGGGCTGCCATCCCCTAGAGGGAGAGGAATGGGGCCCACCAGGCCAAGGGAGTGAGGTCACCACTCAGGAACTAGGGAACTAGAGCCACCCAGTGAAGTAGATCTGTACAGATGCCACCCATTGAAGATGTGTAAGGTGCCAAGCTGACAAGAGGTGGAATTGTGGTCGTTCGTTTGTGTGTCAGCTTGGCTGGGCCTGATTGAGTGGCTGGGCAGCTGGATGTAGTATTCCCCATGATGAGACTGGTAATCAACTCCATGGTGGAATCTACTGGGAGTAGCTGAGTAGCTGCCTTAGGGAATGTGGTTTGCTTCCTGTATATAAGCAGAAGCCTTGGGGAATGGTCTATAGCATATGGCACGCTTGGACCCAGCATGTAGCCGTGTCATTGTTCAACAGCCTGCCATGCTCTGCAGACCTTGGGACTTACAATGGGCTTGAATTAATGGCCTGCCATGTGGTTTGATAACATCAGGACTTTGCCTTTTTTACTTATCAACCTTGGGCTCGGCAGCCTCAGCAGCCAGCAGCTGTCTGAGTGAAGAAAAGCCTCTAGCTTCAGTGAGCCGGGAGCTGGAGGTGGAGCTGAAGCCCAAGGCTGAGGGGCTTTCACCCAGCCCCTAGAGCCTGGCACTTTTAATTTGGACTTCTAGCCTCCTGAACTGTAAAAGAATAAACTCCTATTTGTTAAGGCCATCCATTTGTGGTATATCCTTGTCAGAGCAGTACTAGGAAACCAGAACATCATTTCTCCTCCCAAACCTACTCTTGCAGTGTCCCCTAACTCAGAAGATGGCACCACTACTTACCCGATTACTCAGGCCGCACCGTGGGAGTCAATTTCCAAGTCAACAAATTCTACCTCTTAAGTGTCTCTCAAAAGCCTCCACTTCTTTCCAGTGCCACTGTCATTACCCTAGTCCAAACCAACATTATCTTTTACCAGATTACAGCAGTACCTTCCTGAGAGCACATATCATGTATTCACTCTTGTTTATTTCATTACTCCCACAACAACCAGAATGACTAAAAGAAAAGTCTCATATCTGATCACCTTTTCATCTTGCAACACCTGTCCCATTCAGTGACAAAGCCTCACCTGCCTGCAGTCAGTTCCTCCAGCTCACCTGCTCCTCCTCACCACAGGCTCTTTCACAGGCTGCCCCTCTGCCTGGAACCTCATCCACAGTATCCAACCTTTGCCTCACTAATGCCTCATCATCCCTCAGTCTCAGATGAAACTGCATTTCCCCAAAAAAGCCTGTTCTGCCACTCTGATGGATTCAGGCCTCTTAGATGCTCCATATAGGTGATCAATAATTTGGGTAATTTTTAGATTGTATGATCAGTCATGTCAGCACTATGTGTTACTCTCTGCTATAATCTCAGTACCCAGCACCTTGCCTTATAAGTTCATTAAACATAAGTTCATTAAACATATGTTAAATGGGTTAATTAAATATATATATGTATAAATATAGAGAGACAGAGAGAGAGAGAAGGAGGGAGAGAGAGAATGAAAGAAAAGGAAACACTAAATACTAACAATTATGTACACGAATTGTCAAAAGCATGTAAAATGAAAAAAGACACAATTTCACCTTTCAGGTTAGGGGAAAAAAAAAGGTTTTTTAATGACACCAATACTGTCAAGAGTGCAGTGAGACAGGGAGTGTCATCATTTGTTGGTGGAAATATAATTGTGGACAGCCTTCCCAGAAGCCAGTAGCATCATGTGTCAAAATTTTTTTTTTTTAATCTCAATTGCCATTGAGTCAATTCCAACTCATAGTGATCTTATAAAACAGAGTACAACTGCTCTGTAGGGTTTCCAATCTTTACAGAAGCAGTCTGCCTCATCGTTCTCCTACAGAATTGCTAGTGGGTTCAAACCACTGACCTTTTGGTTAGTAGCTGAGCCCTTAACAACTATGCCACCAAGTCTCCTTCATCATGTGTCAAGAGGCTTAAAATACTTGCTTCCTTAGATCCAGTCATTGCATATTTAGAATCTTACTCTCAAACAATAATCAGATATATGATTAAAG